AACTATTATAAAGGAAACAGCAAGGTGACTTGCTTACAATTCAGAGATTCAGTTCAGTTCAGTTGTTCAGTTCAGAGGTTCATCATGGTCAGGAGCAAGGCGACATGCAGGCAGGCATGGTGCTGGAGAAATAGCTGAGTGTCCTACATCTTGCAGGCAACGAAAAGTCTGATTGGGTGGTATCCTTTGAGGTATATGAAACCTCAAAGCCTGCCCCCTTCAGATTAAAGGTGTGCCCTTTAGCCTCAAGGTCTGGATTAAAGGCCTGTGTCACCCAGCTTCCTCCAACAAGTCTATACTTCCTTCAACAAGGTCACCTCTTCTAATAGTGCCATTCCCTGTGAGTTTATGGAGATCAAATATATTCAAACTATCACACATTCTTTAAATTTGTTTTTAAAAATTATTCTCCTATTTTGTGTGTTTTCTCCTGCACATAAGTCTGTGTACCATGTGTGTACCTGGTGCCTTTAGAAGCTAGGGTATTGGATCCCCTAGATCTGGAGTTACAGTTGGTCAATGAGCCACTATGTGGGTGCTAGGAATCAAACCAGGTCCTCTGGAAGAGCAACCAGTGCTCTTAACCACTGAGACATCTCTCCAGCTCTCCTGACTTCTTTCTTTAGTGGTGCTAACTTTTTTGTGAAATTAAGTCCAGTCTTATACCATCTTTTCTGACAAAGCTATCAAATTTTCAGTCTTTTTTTGTTTTTTGTTTTTTGAGACAGGGTTTCTCTGTAGCTTTGGAGCCTGTCCTGGAACTAGCCCTTGTAGACCAGGCTGGCCTTGAACTCACAGAGTTCCACCTGGCTCTGCCTCCCAAGTACTGGGATTAAAGGCACGCACCACCACCAAAGCTTCTTCCTTTGCTCTTTATTGTTGATCCTCACTGTGAATTTGGTTCAATGTAGGCAATAATCACAATGCCATAGCTTGAATGCTGGGTGTAGTAGTTACTTTTCTATTGCTGTAATTAAACATCACGGCCAAGGTAATTTTTGGAAGGAAGGGTTTATTTGGACTCATGGTTACAGAGGGCTAAGTGTCTGTCACCATCGGGGTGGGGAAACATGGCGGCAGGTGGGCACAGAAACTGGAGCAGCAAGCTGAGTGCTCACATCTTGATCTGCAGCAGGAAGCAGAGCGAGAACGCACTGGGAGTGGTGTGAGACTTTGAAGCATCAAAGCCTGCCCCCACTGAAAACTTCCTCTAGTAAGACCATACCTCCTTAGCCTCCTGAATGGTGCCATCAATTAGGGGTCAAGCATTCAAACATGTAATCCTATGGGGGACAGTTTCATCTAAACTACCACACTAGGGCACCTTGAAATATCCTCTGCCATGTTTAACCCTAGCGTTCTAATCTCAGGATACAGGCAAAATTCTGGCAAGGTCTTTGCCAGAGCGTAGCATCAGCAGCCTTTGATTTAATGACTGGTTGAGTCCCTGCCTCCATTCTATTGGCATTCTGGTTTTCTGAGGACCCACTACAATTGCCCATTGAGTTTTATGTAGCATGTCCTAGACTTTCTCTAGCCTGCTTACCTAATTTCCTAATTCCTCCACAAACCAAGTTCAAAGACTTAAGAACCACATGGTAAGACTTAGTCACAACAATGGCCCCATACCAATTTTTTGGGCTAGTTACTTTTCCTGACTCTGTGACAAAATACGGGACAGGAAGGTAACAGCTCCCAGACCTTAGCACAACTGACTCCAGGATGGAAGTACCATTCAGCTGTAAAACTCAGCTGTAGACACCACCACCTGCCCAGATGAAAACAATGACTTAATCCATCAAAGCCTGCAGTTCTGGGAAAGTCTCTAAACCTTGCTTTTAGGCTTCTGCAGTTCCGCTTCTGGCTAGTTGATCTTGTTAACCATGTCGACCCAGGACATGGTTTTTGTGCTTAAAAGCTCACCCTGAGAAAGGCTCGGGGCTACACTGGGATCCAAACACTCGGTGGAGTCACTGGCCGGCTAATAATGACTTTCTATTGGCTTAGACCTGAGTCTCAGTAGTCTTCCCTGGCGGATATCCACAACAGAAACAACTGTGAGGGCAAACTTACTTTGCTCATGATTTGGATGCATTGCTGTGGGGAAGCAGAGACGTTCACATCATTGTAACCAGGATGGAAGGAGCAGGAGAGGGATGGAGGGAGGGAAAGAGAGACAGAGAGCCTGCACTAGTGACCTCCTCTCTCTTTCTTTGTTCCACCTGGCCCCCAGCATATGATGTGGCACCGCCCATACTCACCCTTGGTTTATCTTCTCCGGAAATGCCCTCACGGGCAGGAGAAATGTGCTATACTAATCTTCCAGGGCACCCTAAAGCCAATCAGGCTGACCATCAAGCTTCACTGTCACAGGTGCTAATAAATGTTGAAAATGAGTAAATGCATGAGGAGATATTCAGAATCAGTCAACAGAGAAATGCAAATTAAGCGGCTATAATGAACAATAAAGACACTTTGAAAATTTTATATTACATTTTATTTACTGACTTTGTGTGTGTGTGTGTGTGTGTGTGTGTGTGTGTGTGTGTACGTGTGTGCACGTATGCACACGTGCCACGGCACACTTGTGGAGTCCAGGGGACAGCTCATGGCAGTGAACTCTCTTCCTTCACGGCATCAGTCCAGATGCTTGTCCAGTGTTGCTCAGAACCCACGAGGAATGGTTACCTCTGTGATCTCAAAGAGCTGTGTGACCTGAGCAGCTCCATTTGCTCTTCTGTGAAATGGCTTTTCCTGTATTGGGCTGATGGAGGAGAAGACTGCCAAGCACAGAGTCTGTGTTCAGAGAACCGGTGATCTGGTGGTCCCACAACCTACCACCCTCTGTCTCTGTTTCCTCCCTTTCTCCATCCCCCCCAGCGTCATTTCTTCCTTCACCTTGACTGTGATTTATTAATATTATTATTATTAAAGTCTAACCTACAGAGGAAGAGGTTTAAGTCGGGTGTGGTGGCACATGTCTTTAATTCCAGCACTGAGGAGGCAGAGGCAGGCAGATCTATGTGAGTTTGAGGCCAGCCTGGTCTACAGAGTGAGTTCCGGGTCAGCCAGGGATACATAGAAAGACCCTGACTGAACAAAACACAACAAAAAGAGGGTGTTCCATCGTGGGCATTCCCAAATGTGCCCATCATTGCACTTTGTCTTTACCCCCACTCATCGCCCATCTCCACCCACTTCCTTCTCCCTCTTTCTGGGCTTCTTCCCTGCTTCTGTTTCCCCGTCACACACAATCCATGACCTTCTCTTCTCTTCCTCCCCTTAGACGCCTTCCTCCCTCTCAGTTCCGTTTCTGCTTTCGTGTCCTACATTCCCGGGGGTGTGCACTGCATCTAACCAGATTCCTCACACGAGAGAAAAACATGCTGTTTGCCTGGCGGTACAGTTTTTGTCAACTTGACACAGAGTAGAGTCACCTGGGAAGAAGACCCTCAACTGAGGAATTGCCACTATCAGATTGGGTTGGGGGTGTGTCTGTGGGGCATGATTTTGATCCATGACTGACATAAGAGGCCCCAGTCCACTGTGGGCAGTGCCATCCCTAGACAGGTGAGCTTGGGGTGTATTAGAAAAAGTATCTGAGTAAACCAGAGAAAGGAAGCCAAGAAGCAGGACTTCTTTTTTTTTTTTTCATTTTTTTTACCCCATTCCTTCCTCCCATTCCCTCCACACACCCTCCCACCCCACCCCCATCTAATCCTCAGAGAGGGTAAGGCACATTGCTTTGGGGAAGGTCCAAGGCCCTCCCTACTATATCTAGGCTGAGCAAGGTATCCATCCAAAGAGAACAGGATCCCCAAAAGCCAGTACATGCAGTAGGGATAAATCCTGGTACAACTCTGCCAGTGGCCCCTCAGTCTGCCCCAATCATGCAACTGTCAACCACATTCAGAGGGATTAGTTTGGTCCTATGCTTGTTCCTTCCCAGTCCAGCTGGAGTTGGTGAGCTACCATTAGCACAGGTAAACTGTTTCAGTGGGAGAACCTAGCATGGTCTTGATCTCTTTGCTCATATTCTCATTCTCCCCACTCTTCAACTGAACTTTGGGAGCTCAGTCCTGTGCTCCGATGTGGGTCTCTGCCTCTGTTTCTATCAGTTGATGAATGAAGGTTCTATGGTGATATTTAAGATATTCATCAGTCTGACTACAGGGCAAGTCAAGATCAGCCCCTCTCTCATCTATTGCTTAGGGTCTTAGGCGAGGTCATCCTTGTGGATTCCTGGGTTTCTCTAGAGCCAGGCTTCTGTCAACCCTATAATGGCTCCCTTAATCAAGATATCTTTCCTTGCTCTCACCTCTGTCCTTCCTCCATCTCAACTATCCCATCCCCTCAAGTTCTCCTCAACCCTCCCCTTCCCCTTTCCCTTCTACTCTACCTTCTCTCACCACCCCCATGCTCCCAATTTTGTCAGGCGATTTTGTCTATTTTGACTTTCCAGGTGGATCTATATATGTTTTTCTTTGAGTTCACCTTATTACCTAGCTTCTCTAGGAGCATGAACTATAGGCTCAATGTCCTTTGTTTATAACTAGTATCTACTTATGAGTGAGTACATACCATATTCATCTTTTTGGGTCTGGGTTACCTCACTAAGGATGGTGTTTTCTAATTCCATCCATTTGTATGAAAAATTAAAGGTGTCATTGTTTTTTTTTCCACTGAGTAGTACTCTAATGTGTAAATGTGTCACATTTTCTCTATCCGTTCTTTGGTTGAGGGGCATCTAGGTTGTTCCCAGGTTCTGGCTATTACAAATAATGCTGCTATGAACAAAGCTGAATAAATGCTTTTGTAGTATGATTGAGCCTCTTTTGGGTATATTCCCAAGAGTGGTATTGCTGGATCTTGAGGTAGGTTGATTCCCAATTTTCTGAGAACCACCATCACCACCATCAATGCCATTTTTATTGTTAAACTAATATGGAACACCATCACCAATGTCACTATCATTTTTATTGTTAAACTAATACGGAACATCATCACCACCGTCACTATCATTTTCATTATTAGGATGCACATTTCCAAGTCAGACGGGTCCCATGGGATGAATGGAAATTTCTTAAAACTAGTTGGGATGTTCATGGTTGCCTGGGGCTGGTGTCTGAAGAGGTCAGTCGCTATGGCTCTCCTGGAATGTCAGATGCTGTCTTCTGAGTCAGGTTTCTGTTGTGGGCTTGAAGTGGCCTGGGGTCTGGAGTCTAGACGTCGTGTGGTGCTGTGAAGGCCATTCCACTGAAGTCGCTGCTCACTTGAGGCTGCGAGGCAGTCTCTCCCTGTCCTCCAGGACATCAATATGCCTGCCCCCAGGTTCAGAGAGTGGGCTGCAAACAGGCTGGCAGTTCCTGGTTGAGTCTCACCCTCTAGTGGCTGTACGTGGGAATAATCGGCAACCCATGGTGAACGGTCTGGTGGAGGTAAGGACAGATTAGCAGGAAAGGGGTAGGAGAAACCGAGTGTCCTTTCTGCCACTGGATCATCACTGAGGGGTCAAACAACCTCACCGGCCTTCTCCGTAACGACAGAAATGGAGCATTTCTGAATTTTCCCAGCTTTGCCTGCGAGAGGCATCCAGGGGATGAACTCCTGATGGCATGGAGCCTCCTTTACCAGAAAGGAGGGAGAGATGGACCACAAAAGAACAGTAGTAGGCAGGAGGATACCTGAAGCCCTAGGTTACAGTGGGGACCCTGGGAGAATTATTTAAACATGAAAACATTAGAAAATATTTAAAAATACCCAAAGCCCTCATTTAGGGGCAGAATATCAGGTCCCCCACCTCATGGGGGAAAGAGTATGGCTAGATAATTCCAGGTCAGAGACCTTCCCCTCTTGACCTATAACAACTATGGAATTTGGAGCCTCCTGTGGCCTAGGGTTTAAGAACCTCAGACAGAACATATCTAAATCTCCCATCTACACGCACGCACGCACGCACGCACACACGCATGCACGCGCGCACACACACACACACACACAGATCTTGAGGCTGTAGAGTCCCTGGGACTCAGGGTGCCCCTCCCCCCAGCTCAGTTCACTGCTCAGCTCATTCATAATGTATATAGGTCTGGGTGGGACACTGAAATCTAAAGCTTTAAAAACACCTCAAAGCCCAGGACATGGCTGAACCTTCTAGATGTAGGCGATGGGCTGAGTCTAGCCTTGCCTCCTCTTCATCAAAAGGAGTAACGGAAGCCCCAAAAAGGGCAGATGGTTTGGCCCACACTCTTACTAGTAGGCCAGGCATAGCCATGACTCATTGAGACCATGCTCTTTCTGGAGGCTTCGGGTTTCTAAGAAGTGGAATAGAGCACAAGTGGGGGCCTGGGCTGTAACTAACTCAGGAGGCTGAGAGGTTGCTAGGAGGCGTCATCTTTTGCCTCTGGCTGAAGCTCTAGTGAGCTTCCCCTCCCCTCTCTGTTTGTTGTGTACAACCAGGTGTTGGCTATCTTTTCTGAGATAAGGTTCCTTACTGACCTGAAGCCTGCCTTTTGGGGCACTCTGACTGACCAATGAGCCCTAGGCATCTGTGTGTCTCTACCTCCCCGGCATTGTGACCACGAAGGCATGCCATTATGCCTGACATTTTTCATGTGTGTGCTGGGAGTCAAACTTGGGTCCTGAGGTGACACGGCAAGCAATTTAACGACATAGCCCCTGAGCCCCCTTCTTAAGAGGATCTGGGAAGCACTTCAAAGTGAGCCCAGCCTGCCCTGTCAGTCCCCACCACCCGAACACTCTGGTGGAAGCAGCCCCAGGAAGCTTAGGCTCTGCTACAGTGAACCTATGAGCATGGTAGTTCTAACATTATCTGATGCCCAGGAAGCCCTCATGAGTTTCTTTCTTTCTTTAAAAAATATCTGGAGGTCTTAAATCAAGAATGCATTTCAGGGGTGTGAACTTCTACAGAGAAGTGGGGAGCCTGGCCTGGCGAGCAGGGCATCCAGCTGTTCTCAGTAGGACACCATGGAGAAACACAGCTACAGGGTCAGGAGTGGCGCTGAGGACCCTCACCTGTCAGGTGTAGGGTGAGTATGAGGGTCACTGCCTGAGGGGGTGACATGGCATCATGTGGAGTCTCTCTTATCCTTCTCCAACTATCCTTGGGTTCTATTCCCAGACTCCTCCCCAGTCACAATGGCAGCTCCTGGGTCATCCGCAGGGTCAGACTTGCCAATTATTTAGTCTACCTGAAGGCTCCTCCCAGTGTCCTTCCTGTCTGGGGTTGGGGGAACCCCAATGAAAGAAAACACCTAGGGTGTCCATATAGGAGGTGTGTAAGTAGGAAGCCATCTCAATTGCTAACCCAGCAATTTCCCCAAACACCCTCAGGCTTCTTCACAGACATGATGTGAAGACATGGGTGTGTAAGCCCATCGCTTCCCGAGCGGTCAGTTTTTCCGTGGGTATGATGGACAGGCAGGAAGCAAGGTGGTGAATAGAGTGGGCGGGGCCAGCTCTAAACTCCCTTTAGTTTCAATAGCCTTTGAGATGAGGGAATTAGTCTCATCTCGTTCTTATAGCAGCCCCACCTGACTCTGTGCATGGGTCCCCAAAGGCCTTGGGAGGGGGGTCAGCTGGGGAAGGGTCATAGGCACAATGAGAGGGAGATCAGAGGGGGGCATGGAGGGTGCATTGCAGGTACTTCCAAAGGGATGTGCTGGTGGGCTGGAGGTCACTATCGAGCCAAAAGGTCCCTAGTGACTCCTACACCACCATCCTGAACAAGGGGCTCAGGCCGGACCTCGGGAGATTCTGGAACCCATCTCAGGCGGCCTCATCACAGAGGCAATGGCTGAGTGCTGCAGAAATGGTCTTGAGGGACTGGTCCTGGTGAAGGGCTCACCACTCAGGTTGCAGGGTCTCTCTAGCTAGAAGCTGGGCTCCCAGACTAGTCAAGTCACACTCATGCCCATTCCTCGTTAATTTTAACTCTGCAAAGGTGGGGTCAGGATAGGGTCACAGAAAGATCTAGAAAAAATGTTTGCTCTGAGGTGTACAGAGACACATGAGGGATATAGGCTCCACTTCTTATGTGTGTCTGTGTACGGGGTGGGAGTGGACAGAAGAACCGAAAGCAGAGGAGGAGGAAATGAAAAAAAAAGGTACATGAAGAGAGGAAAAGGTCTGAAGATGAAACCAGGAATTCTGTAAAGAAAGGGAGGGGGGAGAAGGAAAGGAGGTGAAGGAAACACAGGGGAGAGACAGAAAGGCAAGGTAGAAAGAGTGAAGAATGTGGATACAGAGCAGGGCAGGGGGAAAGGGAGGAGGCCACAGGGGAAGAAGGCAGCAAGCCAAGGGCAGAGGTCAGATGCCGGAGGTGGAGAGGGGTCACTGTGAGCCAGGCAACTGCGTCCTGCGCTCCAATTTCCTGTCCTTGCGTTGGCGGCGATCCTTCCGATCCTTCCGATCCTTCCGGCTCTTCTGCCTGGGGTTTCTCTCTGGAAGAGAACACAAGTCCATGGAGATCCTGAAAGATGAGGGAAGCCCAAATATTCCCAGGCTCTGAGTGCTGGACTCAAAGTTCCCCTGTTTTAAATTTGAGGCTGTAGGTGAAACTGTTGGCGACAGACTCCTCCTTGGAGATTCCTAGGGGATCAGGAGGGCACTGGCTTGCGGAGGGAACACCTGGAGCGGAGGTGGAGTCGGGCAGCATCCTGTAAGGGCTGAAGGACCACTTGGATCAGCACCTGTCAGGACTTTGAATGGCTGCCCAGGGCTCCCCATGCCTCTACACACATGTACTACCTGTTAACAAGGCTTCCTGTTGGGGACTCTGTCAGCTTCCTAGCTACTTCCAGCCAGGATCTGCCCTCACTAGCAGCCTGGTAGCTTGAGACCCTGAGGTTTAGCTGCTCTTGGTGCGGGCCAGATGACCCGGAGAGTATGGAGAGTAAATCCATGCAATGGGAGCAAAAACTACTATTTCTATCCCATTTGACAGACAGGGAAAGGGGTTGGCTTTGGCAGTACAGGGGGCAGGCTGCAAATCCCAGACCCAGGTCTCAGTTAGACCACAGCGTGTCCCACCAATCCCGGAGGAATACGGTCCAGTGTGAACACCGGATTAGTCTTGTTTCTCAGATAAGATGACCAAAGGCTGGCCAGAGGATTAACTTACTCAGCGGCCTAGAGTTCCTGGAACCAGTTCTAATGTCCCTTCAGAGAAGCTCATCTGGGCTAAGGCTAGCTGGGTGGCTAGTGGCCAGATGGCATAGGGTGTGGCAGAGATCCCAGCATGCTGTCTTTAGGCAAGCTCAATATCCTGACAGGGTTCTCTGGCAGCCTCCTTCAGCAGCTCCTTTCTGGTCACTTTTTTATTAGGCCTGTCTGAGCTTTCCTGTGGTACTCCACGCTGTTTGCACGCCTTTCTAGGTATCTGCCAGCTCCCTGGAGCAATCTTCCCAGATGAGGGTACTCCCCATCCTTCTCTTTTGCCAGCCCACTGCCTAGGCATACCTCCATCTACACCCATGCACCTTCCCACTCACCCATGCACCCTACCACCCATGCACCCTCCCACTCACCCATGCACCCTATCACTCATACACCCTCCTACTCACCCATGCACCCTCCCACTCACCCATGCACCCTCTCACTCATCTAACCATGCGCTCACAAAACTACCTACTTACCATCCACTTACCCTCTCACCCGGGTCCTCCAACCCACGCACCACCCACCCACCCATCCATCTACCCACTCACCTAACTCTCTACTTACCCACCCATCTGCTCACCCACTCACACAACTACCGACCCAGGCACTCCCTCACCCATCCACCTATCTTCCTGCACCCACGCACCTACTCATCCCACACAGTCGACATCGGGGTCCCGCTCCAGCATCAGAGTCAGCCTTGCCCTCCGGAGACCACAGACTCACCACACACAGCTGCAGAAAGAGCAAGGCTTTCCCCTAGTGGTGCCAGTGTTATGACACGATGTGACAAGAGAGGATTCCGGAAGGGGACCTCGGAAAACCTCCGAGTGGAAAAGGTGCCAGGGCTGAGGCATATGCCAGGAGGCTCTGCAGGCTTCTGGGAACTCATACATACACTCAGCATACGCCACTCACAGCAATAATCACAGAGTGTCTGCGGCCACAGCTCCTAGGGTCATCATCTGAGAAGGGCTCTCCTTGAGTTTTGGGTATATAGTCTCACCTAGGCTCCACTCTCTGTCCCAACTGCCTATTGTGTATGTGTGGGTATTGAAAGGGGCAGGAGATTCAAATTCTGCCTCTGTGTTGTCCCAGCTGTGTGTCCTGTGTCCTGGCTTCATGTCTTTCACTGTTGACTATGACTTAGAGTCTTCTTTGCCCATTGATTAACGTTTGGCCTCTAGGTTCACCTACTCTTGGCTATGTGACCCTGAGGTCAGGATCGCGAGCTCTGTGGGCCTCCATCTCCTAAAACAGGATAGTAACTACACCCCCCATCACAGTCATTGTGCAGATCAAATGAGCCAGTGACTATAGAGAGTCTAACACACCATGCTCATATCCCGAACATTGCTTTTCTGGGCCGATGCCTCTCGTACTTCACAACCCTCTCTTCTGGGGTTCTTAGTGGTCTCCATTGGAAATCTGCGGTCTTGTCTGCCCAAGTGAAGGGGTTCCTGCGGTATTTAGTGGGGGCGGTATAGGCATAGTCCCCTGTTCTACTGCTGCATAGCTGACAGCGTTGATTCTTCAGAGCTGAGATCTCTCTGCACACGTGTGCCTGGGGTTTTAGAGTGTTTCGCTCCAATCCCTATGGCAACGTTGGCTCTCTGTGCTCCTGGGACCTGTCTCCCACTGACCCCGTATATTGGGTCGAGCACCTGCTTCTTGGCATTACCTCTCTTTTGTATTACAGTATGGGCCCTGTGCTGCTCTTTTGTATTACAGTATGGGCACTGTGCTTCTCTTTTGTATTACAGTATGGGCCCTGTGCTGCATTGCGCCCCCAGCCCCCACTTTGTAGGCTTTCCCGGGAACCCCACTAGAAGCGGCAGATTGTTCCAAAGTCCTTGCAGCATAGAGGTCTGGGCACTGCGAATCATTCTCCCCACTGTATCTGGGACCCTTCTCGGTAAGTACTCCACAGGGGGATGCTTAGTTCTCAGGAAGGGCTGGCAGGCAGGGGCCTTTCAGGTGGCCTTGCAGATGCCATCTGTGGGGTTGTCTCTGTCCCTGGATGCTAGAAATCACCCATGGGTGTTTCCCACACAGCCCCGCAGGCTTAGTACTCACCTCCTGGGCAGGGCCTCTTTATAGGACATTTTCTGGACTCAGATAACACTCGGCAACTTGCCGTCTCCTCCTGCTTGGCTGGGCCAGCCTCCCGCACCCGGGTTTCTAGGCCCCAGCCTGAGCCGCAGGTCTTCCCATTGTGTATGCAGGGACTCCAGCTGCCCCATGGGCTTGGCTCACACTCTTCTGTGGGTGAAGGGAGACAGACAGGTGAATCAGTTGGTAGTGTTTGCCTCTTGGCTTCAAGGACCAGGGATCTGAGGAGCTCTGCCTGCAAGGGACTCTGTGTATTGCTGGATGCAGAGAGCACGCATAGAGACCGCTGCTTGCAGGAGCCTGCAAAGAGCCCCATGAAGGCTGTGCTAGAAGTCAGAGCCGGCTCCTGCCAGCGAAGCAGAAGGTTTCCCAGGGGAGGTAACAGAGCTGAATTAGGCCTCCCTGGCTAGCAGGATCTGAGAGCCCAAGTGGGCTGGAATTCAGAAAGGGGCAGGGATTAGGGACAGACACAGAAGTAGCTGACAGCTAAGAGGTTCTCAGGATCAGAGTTCTAGCTTTGAACTTGACCATATGCCTTTTAACAAATATGGAAGGTCAAAGCCACCTGATGCTATTGTGAGGGACAATGAAGTGATAGACAGAAAGTCCTCAGAAAAGGAAATTTCAGAATCATTCCACTCACTTCTGAGCAGGAGGTAGCACCCAGCTCTGGGAAGAGTGAATGTCCCACCTTGCAGTCTTAGGTGCTGAGGCCTGGAGCAGGAACTGGTATACAGAGCAGGGTGGGAACAGGTCCCCAGACCTGAGGTATCTATGCTGCCACTACCTGATGGAGTCACCTGACAAGTCAAGACTGATCACCTACCGTGAGACCCAGGGTTGCATGTACAGAATGGCAGTTGCAGATGAGACACTCGTCTGCCTCCCAGAATGCACCTGCCTCCCTCCCAGAATGCACTATGTTGAGATACTGCACCACGAAGGCAGGGGTACTTTGTGAAGTTCTGGAGGGCACAGAGACTATGGGAGCCCAGAAGAGGAATGGGTCACACCCTTGGGTCCAGGAAGCCTTCTTCCTAGAGGATACTATGGTACTGACTGTCCAGTGGGGTGGGATGGAGAAGTAGGAGGTGCTTCCAGTGAGTGGAAACCCCACAAAGTCCCAGGATACTGAGCTAAGATAGGCAGGCCCAGCCTGGAAAAGGAGGAAGATGCGTGAAGAGGTTATAGATGGGGAACCTGATTGGCTAGGACCCTGCCAGAGGCTAGCAGGAGCCAAAGAAGGGCCTTGAGCAGCAGAGGCATTTTTCAGATTGCTGCCTTATATTTCCTGGTCCTGCATGGGAGAGACAACCCAGGCAGCCACACCAAGGAAGAAAGATGCAGAGAGTGATTGGCGGGTGGGTCCAGGAACTGTATGCTGCTTCGGCATCCCGTTCGGCGATACCGCACCCTAACGTGCTACACACTAATTGCACATCTCTTCTGTCTCCTACTGAAGTGTGAGGGCGGAGCTCTCGGTCACCCCAGGGGTCCACCTGTCTCTCACAGTGTTGGGGTTACAGAGAGCACACACTGCTTTATGTGGGATCCGCACTTTTCTCATAGAGCCACTTGCCTGGAACCGTGTAGTTACTTTTTAAAAACCTTCAGAGAAGCTCTGGGACACAGATGAAGTGACTTTCTGAGCAGCTACGGTAACACTATTCCTTGTTGCCTTGCTGGTGAGAACACCCTTGGTCACAACAGTGATGTGAGAGTTGGTGGTCACAGTGGTACTACAGCCCTGAAGATTCTCTGTGTACCAACATGGGGCTGGGCTGTTCATCACCCCATAACATCTCACTGACTGTTTCCAGGTCTCCCGACATCTCCCTAAGGCTAGGGCAGGTGGCCAGTGTCTCACTCACCCTGGCATTCCCGGGTACTCTGGTGGGTCAAGGTGCCTGGTGGACAGGTGGGCAGGCACTTCCCTTTGTATAGATGAAACCGCCTTTTGCACCGGATACAGAAGTCCTGGCTGAAACAGCTCTCGCACGTGGACCCACATTCTGCAACGGAGCCAGAGACACCATAAGTCATGGGCCTGCCTGAGGGGGGAGGGTCTCTGTGCAGATCACTGGGGTCTGGACTCAGTATCTTGCCGGCAGCTCAGACTTGGAAATTGGTGAGCTGGGCTGCATAGGAGATGCCTTCCTCTCTCATCTAAGCTGAGGTTGAACACAGGAAGTGATACCTTAGGCATCACATAGCCAATCTGGGGTGGGAGTGAAGTTCCCTCATTCTTTACCCATAAGGCTCCGAGATCAGTGATGATTTGTCCTAGGTCACAGCAAAAATGGAAAAAAGACCAGGGCTGCTTTCCTACTAGAGCTAGACTTGGAGGAGGCAAGTAACCTGCTGGCGGTCATGTAGAACCTAGATAGAAGTGGAGGTTCCCTGCCCTGTTTGTGCTGGGATCTGCTGGTGTCCTCTTAGAGCTCACAGAGAGGAGACGACCTGGCCTTGGACTGCAGGGTTGGCTAAAACCAGCAAGCTTGGGCTTGGGCATGCTTCTGCTTCCTCCCAGGGTATGTGTGGGGAAAGGGTGGAATACAAGGTAGCCCTACCTAAGCTTGCCTACATGGGAGGAGACACGTACTCTTGCACCTGTTGGCCTCCTGGCCACGGATTCCGAAGAAGCCAAGGGGACAATCGTGCACACACTTGCCATACTGACGGATGCCTTCCCGGCGGATGAACAGGAAGAGCCTCTGTTGGCAGGTGGAACAGCCATTCTCCTCCGAGCATATGACACAGCCTGTGCAGTTGCCCCCCAGACCGGTGCCTGCTGCAGACAGACCAGATGGGAGAGAGAGAGCCAAATCACACATGTGAGCTACTTAGATGGGCGCATTGGGCTATTAACTGAATGCAACAGAAGACAACAGTTCCAAGCATCTCTGACTACTAGATATCATGTGATCAAAATCTGGTGAACGGGACATAGAGGCAGACGTTTATAGACAGCTGATACGACAGAAATCAATGTCTACTTTGCTCAGACACTGCTACCTGGACTTTTCTATTACAGACACATTTACTCTTTACTAAAACAGTATTTGTGTGTGTGTGCGTGTGTGAGTTGCACACATGGGGACGGGTGAGACCATCACCTTCTTTCTCAGTTCCTGAAGAATACTCCAGTCTCCACTGTCACCATAACAAAAGCTCCTGTCACCATTGGGATCAGAAAGTCAAGGGGAGGAAGGATGAAGGATGAACGAGGCTGCAAAGCTGGGGAGAAGATGAGCAATAGTTTGGAGTGCAGGCGTATGCTCCACGCCAAGGCTTGCAGGGAGATCTTTGCCAAACCATGTGCAGTGCTAAGTCTTCATGCCCCAGCCCTGCTGTCAGCCCTGCCGCCAGCCCTTCCTTGTACCTCTCTGAGCCGAGGAACCTGGGGGAGTAGACAGAGAATGGCAGCAGAAAGCCCCCAGACTTCATGAGCACGAAGAATGGCATGCACGAGAAGCCTGCTGCAAGGGATCCATGGAAGAGCCAGGCCATAAGGTCTGCTTATGTCTTGCAGAGGCAGGTGCCCGGAAGAGAGGGAACAGTGGAGACCACTGAGGACAGGTAGTGGGAAGAGTAGGGATTTGGTCAGGAGTCACTAAGAAAGGACACCGAAGCTGCCCAGAGAGCACTGAATTGCTCTGTCTTCACACCTCATCGAGCTGGGACATTGGATGGGCTGGTTACCCACTCTGACTGACCTGAGGCCACGGGCCCCCAGAAGAGGACATCCTTGGTTCTCCAGCTCTCAGCCCTTCTGTATCTTCCTCACTGAGATGTTTTTGGTGTGTGAGGTGCCAGAACCTCCCTAGAGAGGCCACCCCTCCTCCTGTCAGCAGAGGGCAGTCCTTGCAAGGCCTGGATGATATGTTATGCCTAGGACACAGTAAGGACATGTGGGAACATCCATGGTCTCTGCTTAGACTTGCTGGGTTTTTGCCTCTCTCTCCATCTTCTAATCCAGGAACCTGAGCGCCTTCCACCTCGTCACCCTAGTTCTGTCACTTACACCGGAGGAGCTGACTGATGTGGCTCTCACAGGGCCACGCTGTAGCAGACGTGTACCCTGTGACACACCCTGGGTACCGGGCAAGAGCCAGTACCCTCAGTGCACTTGCTCCAGGAAAAGAATGTGTAGAATTGGGACGGAAGAATAAAGACTTGGGATCTTCAAAGCTGCAGGCAGCTGACACCCAAGAGAAAGTGTGAAGGCACTAGAGGGCCCCAGACTAGAGAGAGCCACACCACCAGACCCAGATGGAGCCAGGTTCTCTCACTCACTCAGCAAAACCTGCTTGACTTGAGCGACACCAAAGACAGACAGGACCCAAAGGAAACTTCTTCCACTGATGGTGTAAGTCCTGGAAAGAAGTCTAGCAGCATCCAGGAAATCTGAAGACATGCCTTCTCATACCCAATAGTTTGACATCTGACCTCCACTGCAGAATGGCTGTGTGATTGGTTACCGTGGTGATGTTGAGGCTGCCTTTAGTTATAGACTTCTACCATGCGGCCTCCACCTCCTAACAGTTCCAGCCTCTCAAAATAGTTTCCCCAGCTAGGGAGCACCATTCAAAACGCCAAGCTGGGAGAGCCATTTCAGATCCAAATCATTACAGGAGGTCTAGGGTAAGACTCGAGAATCTACCAGGTGATCTGTCACTGCCTGTCACAGACTCACTCGGGAAACCACAAAGCCGAGAAACTCTTGCATGTCTGCGCCAAGAGACCCTGACAGAGATGCTTACTGCGGCGTGGCTTAATAGCACACAGTCACAAAAGAGAACCCGCTTTGGGGAGGACAGATAAATACGTGGTGGTACGCCACAGCCGTGCACCACACACACAGCACGGCCATGATAAACGGCTGAGGCAGGGTTGGTTATCATTGCGGACACAGCTCAAAGCCAACGCTGAGAAAGAGCAAGTTGTGTGGATGAGTCATGTACACGTTACCATCTGAGTTCAGCAGCAGAACCATGATCTGTAGCACTGCCGATACACGAGGCGTCCGAAGAATGAGAGACATATAAGGGTGCATGCACATTTAACTCAGTACGGGGGTACCTCTGGTGCAGATGTGAGAGTGCGGATGGGAAAGAAGACTCGAGACCTCATTTGTTTTTTAACTTCCTAAAATCTGATGCAGATATGTACATAGAAAGAGCTGTTCAAAATGGGTGGGTGGGTGGGAAGATGGCTCGGCCAGTAAAGTGCTTGCCAGGAAAGGAGGACCCCAGTTCTGATCTCCAGCACCCACACAAAAAGCCAGTTAGTGTAGAGTGCGGCTGTAATTCCAGTGCCAGGGATGCAGAGGCAGGAGGATTCCTTGGAGCTTGCTAGCCAGTCAGTCTAGCCAAATTTGAGAGCTCTGGGTTCAGCAAGAGACCCTGATCAAAACAAACAAACAGAGACCGAATTGAGGAAGAAACCCAGTGTTGACCTCAGGCCTCTACATGGTCATGCACTGCACACATGTGCCTGTTACACAAACATACACGTACACACTGGGATATTTATCACATTAGTTTTTATTTTTAAGTATAGACTTGAAACAGTTCAAAACAAAAATCCATTTAAAGAAAAAGAAACTTAGCTTCTCTGGTGTTCAAGAGCAATGAAGGGCTACATTTTTCTTCAAGATTATTTTATTATTTTACGTATGTCAACATTTTGCCCACATGTATGTTTGTGCATCATGTACATGCCTGTGCCACTGATGTCAGAAGAGGGCATCGGGTTCCCTGGGACTGGAATTAACAGCTGTGAGCCTGCCGCATGGGTCCTGGGAACTGAACCGGGGTCCCCTAAAAGAGTAGCCTTAATCTTAATCACTGAGTCATCTCTAGTCCCATAAAGATGTATTCTTCATTCCCCCTTTCTTCCAGATCCCCTTCCTAAGCCCCATTCTGCCCTCAGGTTTAGGTCATGGGTAGGGAAGGAAACAGACTCCAGAGCTGGGGGGTTTGGGAGCAGTGGAGACCCACCCACCCCCAGGTTCTCCGCTAGTCATCTCCTGCATCCGCTCTCTTTGTCTTTAGGAATGGACCTCTGATGTTTAGCACGATTTGTCTCAGAAAATACATTGCTCAGACCCTCTTGCACTGCTTAGTGGTCCCATGTCTAACCGCAGTCAGTGAGATGGGAGTGGGCATGTCATGGGCCATGCCCAGGAAGGATCCACATTGCTCTTCTCTCCTCTGTCCTCCATGTTAGGGTTTCAGTTTTGATGGCAGGAGCCTTGGCTGCTCCTTGTGCCAGAGGAATCTTGAGAAAGGCACTGGTACAGCCACCACACGAACCCAGGGCTGTAATGGGAGGAGGAGAAAACCTCATACACCTGGTTTAGGTCACCGCCTTGCACAGGCTCCAAGGCTTTCGATGCTGGGAAGCACAGCCGTGTTGCTTGAGACGAGGGTGCGCCCCTCATGCTGTGTGCCAGGGAAGCCTCAGAGCCAAGCTGCCACCCAGTGGACTCAGTGATCCCAAGGAAACTTGGACAAACTGCAAGTTACCTTCTATCATCAGAGCACAAGGTGGGGTTTGCCCTGCAAACTGAATCTGTGAGCCATGATGCCCTGATGTGGGGGTGTTGCCATTTTGCAGCTGAGGAAACCCAGCCTTGAGTGGAAAATGACAAGCCCAGGGCAATACAGCATCAGGAGGCAGAGACTTCCACTGTTCTCCCAGAGTGCCAGTGTAGGGCTTAGCTGTGACAGGAGAGGAGAGGAGATGGAGCACAGGCTGAGCCACTTGGCTCGGCTTCCAGAGGACTTGATGTAGCAGGAGTGGCAGACACCACAGAAATAATGCCCAAGCAGAAGACAAGAGTACCCTGAGACCTGTCCAGAGCAAAATTTTCCCCAGCCTCAGGAGAGCTTACAGATCACTTAGCCTGACCCTTGCAGTTTCACTGGTGATCCTGAGACTAGAAGAGGCAGGGCCTTCCTCAAGAGAGAAAAAGAGAGAGAGAATAAAAAAAAACAACCAAAATCCAAAAAATAATGCATGGCAAACCTAAGGGAACTCCCTACTAGAGCCACATTCTTGGGAGGATGTTGACTGAACATGCCGAAGGCAAAACAATCCTTCAGGAACCGTCCCCTGACTCTGAGAGTCAGAATGGAGGAGAGTCAGAATGGAGGCACATGGTGTGTGTGTGTGTGTGTGTGTGTGTGTGTGTGTGTGTGTGTGTGTGCGCGCGCGCGCGCTCACGCATGTTCTTACACATAAGCCTCCCTCCTTCAAAGGTGAAGGCTGTGCTTTAGTTTCTGGTTGCATCCCTGACCCAGAAATTGACTACAGTGCCCTCTAGTGATTCAAGGTTGTAATGGCATCTTTTTAATTTTTTATTTTATTTTTTAAATTGATTTTATTGAGTTATATGCTTTTCTCCACTCCTCTTCCTCTGCTCCCCCTCCCCTTCTGCTCTCTCCCATGGTTCCCATGCTCTCAATTTACTCAGGAGATCTTGTCTTTTTCTACTTCCCATGTAGATTAGATCCATGTATGTCTCTCTTAGAGTCCTCTTTGTTGTCTAGGTTCTCTGGGATTATGAATTGCAGGCTGGTTTTTCTTTGCTTTATGTCTAAAAGTCACTTATGAGTGAGTACATATTATATTTGTTTTTCTGAGTCTGGGTTACCTCACTCAATATGATGCTTTCTAGCTCCATCCATTTGCCTACAAATGTCAAGATGTCATTATTTTTTTCCCGCTATGCAGTACTTCATTGTGTAAATGCACCACATCTTCTTTATCCATTCCTAGGCTGAG